AATTTTTTTTACTGATTCTCTTGTTAAGTTATTACACTCGCGTGCTTGAATGATTATTAACGAGCGACTTTATCATTCACTTGAAACACAATAAGAAGTTATTCAAGAAACTTTGGAAATTTGCCTTTAAACCAAACAGTATTAAGAATAGTTTCTGTAACAGTATTTATTAAACAGCTGACGTATTATGAGGTGAGAATAAAACAATTAAAATATATCTTCCTCTACCTCCCCAGACTTTGTTCGTATCGCTGCTCGTGGCGAGCGTCGTCGTCGCCTCCCCCGGGGGGAAGGGCTTCCGTCGTCCATTCCTGCATGGTCCTCCCCTCCTTGTCCACCATGCCCCCATTGTCCACCCAGTTCCTATTGTCCACCCGGTCCCCATTGTCCGCCCAGTCCCCGTCTTCCACCCAGTCCCCGTCGTCCGCCCAGTCCCCATCGTCCACCCAGTCCCCGTCGTGCATCACGCCCCAGTCTTCGTTGGAGGATTTGGAGGAGGTTTTGGCAAGGGCAAGGGACGCTAACCTTCCCCGATTCATTCAAGAATGAATATCACTACTAGCTTGATTCCTTTGTAGGAATCAAGGAATCAATTCACTACAAACTTGATTCCAAACACAAACAGACTTCCCAGATGATCATCACCCTATGTGTTGTTCTCCAACGCTTGGAATTTACTTATAGTGACCTGCCCAATGTTTGACATTCACAGTTTGGGTCAGTTCCTGTTTTCCCTTGCAATATTTTACCAACAAACTTTTTTCATTGGCAACCGTAACTTTCCTAGACTTGAAACGCAGCCCCTCCGTTAATCATATAAACATATGTAAATATTCATATCAAAAAATTAGCATGCAGAATCCTTACATCAAAAATTATTTCGTGAATGTGATGTAAGGTGTAAATTGTACAATTAACCTGACAACCCACCACAGGATGATGAGTGCATATTTATTTCAAAAAGAAATCCTCGTTTCTTTATTCCCTCTGCAAACTATACTACCGAAATTTTTCTGAAAAGATAAAAAGTGTTCGTTACATAATCTTTACAGCTCGCACTTTACGCATGCTTCATAACCGATTAGAGAATTAATGGATATTTCAAAATTCACGTGCCATCATGTGTGAAGCGGCCAAGTATTTTCATGAAAATATCTTGAAAATAAAATGCCAAAGAAAATAGTGTTTAGGATAATTCTTTGCTTTCAAAGTTACACGAATACGGCACTTCTGAATATTTAATTCAACTCTTCGCAGTGCGACGAATTGCAATTTTTCTGCACGTGGTGCTGATCGAACTCTGTTGTTACTACTCTATTCGCTACTACTCTCTTGCTACTACTCTCTTCGCTACTACTACACAACGAAACATTACGTTGAATTGACATGTAGTAAAGATGGCTGCTCGATGGCCAGCTCCGGCTCACTGATATGGAGGAAAGTTGGCAGCACGCTGGTTTTTCAAAGATATTAGTAAACAAAATATCGAACATTCGCTCTGGCAAAATAAGGGATCATATGTTCCGAACCTATTTTATAATAAATGAACGAGCAGAGAGTTACGAAGCACTCATTTCCGCTTCTGCCGCTGGCGAACTGAGTCAAGATGACCTACACTAGGGCAAAAAAGTTTTATGAGCAGTCTCACTTATTTCTCTGAATGTAGCAGTTAACCCCAGAAATATTTAGTATATCCCATTGAAAATTTACAGACGCGGCAGCTTCTGATTTGGATAACCAGAAGCTGGGGCGACTCTAAACTTCGTTAGGGTTGGACTGTATCATTTGATTGGTCACTCCTTCTCTAGAAACCCCAAGTGGTTTCGATAGTGGTGTACCGTTTTAAACTATATACTCAGCATTAATTATTCTCACAAGCTACGAGCAAGTGTACACATAAGGTTTTAGACGAACGAGAGAATAAAAATCGAAACACTCCGAATCAGAAATATCGTCCGTTTGATATTTTAATCAACAAGTTACCCCGGCATTAGCCCGGCATTTACCGGAGAGATATTGACTTGAAGACATAAATGTATTTCTATTTAATTTCTCATCCTACAACAAATGCATAATACATTTACGAAATACGAATGCCGCAAACTTGCTACTTTCTTCTACGACACTGCAAAAAATATTCTCAATTTTACTTGTTTTTAGCGCATTTTCTCATTTATGGAAAAATGCACTTTTGTGCTCGCCATGTCCGTCTGTCTGTCCGTCCGTCTGTCCGTCCGCCCGTGACCTCAAGTTTTCGTCGACGAGAAAATGCGCTCTCTGTCACTCACTGCAGTGAGTACTGAGTTAGATTTTTTTGTTTAATCAATGAAGCGATAAACACGGATATTCCTAAAAAATTATCACAGCAAATATTACATGTGTTCTTTAATTATTCAGTATCAGTTCTTCGAAAAGAATGTATTAGTCTCGTGAAACTTTTTTGTCCTTGCCTCAGTTAATGGAACAAACACGAGCTGATTTTACTAAACAAAATGTAACTACAACCCCAAGAACATGTGTGAACATTTTTCCAGGAGAATGATTATTTTTCAGAAAAGTAATCCACGCTAACAACACTTTACATAAAACACTCTGGTCATGAAACTCTAATGTAATTTTCAGATAATTTTTTAGTTTTGTTATTTATATTCATAGCAATAAGATAACTCTTCAATAATAGTGGCTGTTATCTTATAACATGTCAGTGAATACAAGACCTTGAGAACTCGCCATTTATTTATCTTTCAGGACTAGAATCCTGCGGGAAAAGGGTAAAAACGACCTGAAGTGTTCCGAGAAAAACAAATTTTTTGCGAGCTCAACTCATATCTACACGACAAGAACTTCCCAAGCAGCCACTCATTAAATCGATGAAAACACCGGAATAATAGAAAGTAAAAGGGATTAATTCGGTAAACGAAGAAACATGCGATGATTAAAAAAATATAACTCCGTACTCACTGCAGTGAGTGACAGAGAGCGCATTTTCTCGTCGACGAAAACGTGAAGTCACGGACGGACAGACAGACGGACAGACGGACGGACAGACGGACATGGCGAGCACAATAGTGCATTTTTTTCATAAATGAGAATATGCGCTAAAAATACGATATTGCGCCACTCTCTGAGGAGACATAATAGTACTAAAAAAATTCAACTTTTTTTACAAAAATTTCTCTCCACAAAAAAGATGAAGGATCCTTAATAAAATTATTAGAGAATAACCTCAACCTTTGTCACCAAATAAAAAATATGAAGGAGCCTTATTAAAATTATTTAGTAATAAACTCGACCTTCGTCACCTAAAAAAATTTAAAGGAACCTTATTAAAATTATAAACGCATAACCTCAACCTTTGTCACCCGCGTATACGGCAGAAAAGTCTGCATGGGCCGGCTTATTAATTCAAAGTGCGAGCAAATGACCGCATCCTGACCACGCCCTGCAGGCGAGCTTATGTGAATTTATTTCATAAATCTTACCTTCCACATTTCCGTATTCTTCCCGTCTGTGGCAAGTACCTGACTCGTCTGTGGCACTTAACTCAGCGTCTGTGGCACTCAACTCACCCGTCTGTGGCACTTAACTCACCCGTCTGTGGCCCTCAACTCACCCGTCTGTGGCACTCAACTCACCCGTCTATGGCACAGGCATATCGTCTGTTTCCAGTATTCATCATTTTCGTCTGCGGCATTAGTTCCAGAAACGTTTTATATTTCACTAGGAACAAAAAATATTTCTTCACTGAAAGAACAGAATCTTTTGTAAAAAACGACAGAAAAAATACGGGGGAATATAACATACACCTGAAGGTAGAAAAAATTAGATCAGTACTCACTGCAGTGAGTGACAGAGAGCGCATTTTCTCGTCCGTCCGTGAAGTCACGAACGGATGAACGGACGGACATGGCGAGCACAGTAGCACATTTTTCCATAAATGAGAAAATGCACTAAAAAGCATTATTGCGGAGTTCGGCACGACCAATTCTCTCGTCCGTTAAACTTTTTTGAAATTTCGAAATTTATTGATGCATCATATTCGAATGCCAAATTTAACTGTCGACGTATAATGCCCAAGAAGGGTTTTCGCCACTCTCGGAAGTGTTATCATCATTGAAGTCTGATATATAAGTTAAGAAAATTTAAACTCTCTGAAGACATTGAATGCTCATATTGTCAAAATTAACTCTGATAAATAATTAACTAATTAATTACCGCCGATAGAAGAATCCTCGGCGCATATTGTTGAGAATTTCTATGTGAAAAAGGAGATAAACATGTTTTCATTTATTATCCTATAAACTATTTAAACAATAGTGTAGTCTGAAAACTTTCATTAAATATATTCGATGAGCACCACCAATCTATCATTGAATGTATCACAAGGAAATGTTGCCCTTAACTGATGAAGGCTATAATTTTCGAATCCTGCATGATTGCTAAACATTTTGCAGGATTCGAATGTCAAATGCTTACTTTGAGTGCTCATGTTGAAAAATTACTTAGCATTCATTTTTCACTTAATATTTCCATGAATGCGCACAGCATTCAATAATTAACTCTTCATAACTCATTCAATTATAGTGTAATGATAAGCGTTATATTATTATTATTATATTTTCCCAAATTGCAATAAAATGGGAATACTGATTGGATTCTGCGAGCCTATAGCGCATTTCTCCTGGGCGTGACTTAGTGGGTGAGCCGAGGGTTGCATGTGATAAAATTTTACTTAAATTACAAAGTGTCTTTTTAAATTTTACTTAAAAGAGACACTTTGTATAGGTCATCCTGATCCAGTTACTTATCTCTGCAAAATTACGAATTGGTGCTACGTGCACAATGTGTGTCATGGTTTGCAATATATCACATTTATTTTCCTGAGTGCGCTATCCCCAATTAATACAAAATGCGATCAATCTGAATCCAGTTAATAATTTTGAAATTAAAGTCTTGTAATTGAGGAAAGTCCAGTTCAAACCTACGTATGTACCACTTAACAACTATTTAGGTCTTACTTTGGAATAGCGAGTAACTTGAACCGTTGACAATTTCAAATAAAATTCCCTGATAATATTCCGAAACGATGGTAAAATTGAGACTTTTCCTGGGTCACAGCTCCATTTCTTTATTTTTTGTTCAAACATCAAGGTATTTCTTCTAGATTTACAACTGTTAATCTCATTAATTTTAGATAACTCGCACCGATAATAATGAAAAGTCATTATGCAAGTAAAGCGAATAAAATGCAAAAATTGCAATTTTTGAAATGTTTTCAATCTGAATATGGTAAATTTTGCAGGCATATCCCTATTCCCCAGGCATATCCCCTCTATTCCTGAATATGGTAAATTTTGCAGGCATATATTCCCTATTGTTTGTTTTACTTGCCCTTCAAGCAATCACACAATCTTAATACATGTATAAAATCAATAGGATAAGACGTTTGCATACTAACATATTAGCTCATGACGCGTGTCCCACTGGGAAAATGGCTTTGAAACTATGTTTAAGCAACGTTACTTCAACTAAACAATGTTTTTTCAGCGTTGCTTCAGCATCATATGTCTGGTGATCCCTAAGATTTTTGTTTTCCCAAGATTCCCACTTTCCACAGGGCGCTTGAGACATTTCCCCGCAGGCCTCCAGTGAACGAAGGTAGTGTAATGCTACAAAAACTGGACCTTCTGCCCAATGAGATCCTAGATATTTAATGGACATTCACTCCCCTTCTTGCTGCTTCATTCAACCTTGAATGGCATCAAGAGAAATCTCATAATTGGAATTCAAGGCCTATATTCACATTTTCATTTCATATTAAAAATTATTTCAATCGCAAACCATTATAAAATGACGACTTTCTTGATATATAACAAGAAATTTACAAGCTTTTAATTCAACATGGAGCAAATAACAATTAACTCATTGATGATCTCTGGAAACTGATAATTTTTCTGATTAATAATA